CAATTTCGAGATTTTTTTTGTCCCAAAATTGTAATATTTTCTCAGTGTTAAGTATATTCAAGTATAATCCAGGCAAAACAAATGATAAATTCATTACTTCTCAATAATTTCTACCCAGCGATATCGTACCGACACGAGTTCAAAAGGAAAGCGACGAATCATTGTATACGGCTTGGGTCACTCGTTACGGTCCGCAATCAGTTGCCAGCGCAAGTGGTTAAAGAGCTTAAAATTTGAGGCCTCTGAAGCTTCAGTTTTAGAAGTTTAGCGTTAAACGTTTTTGAGTTTCGAAGCTTAACAGTTGAAAACTGGTGGTTCAATGGTCGAAAAATAGAAGATCTTAAGTTCAAAAGCTTCGAAGGTTAGGAAGATTTTAAATTTAGAAGTTTTGAAAGTTCAAAATTTGAACGTGACTGGCCCGAGAGTTTGAAATTTTAATTTCAATAGTCTGCTGTTGGCAAGACTCTGAAAAATTTGTAATTTCAGATTACTTGCAGTCTCACGCAAAGACAACTCAAAAAGAACGTGGACCTACGTAGAAAATTGTCAACTCAAAATCTGCCTATTAAATATTACACATCACATCTTTCCAGCATTTAAATTTCCTATGAATAAAATATAAAAATTCATGGTACTACCTGGTGTCTGAATCACATGATAAATAAATCGATAATAACAATAGAAATTGGTATCAAAAGAACCTAGTGTGAATGTTAAGAAGTTTAACGCATGAATGGACGATGATCAATTTATTGATTTTGGAAAGTAGCCTTTATTACCCTGGATTGATTGCTGATGGATTTAACTTATGTTAGATACTCTAAACTACGGTGAAAGCTCTGTGCGTTTAGGCTATTAACAGTTCGGTGATGGAGTTTTGTAAAGTAACACTTTATCGTGGTTAAAGATCTAGTTATCAGCTTTCTGGATCCGGTGAATTTACGCGTTGGATATTCTAAACTAGACAACGAGCAACCTGCATCCAGTATATTTAGATTAATCCCTAGTCAAAGGAAATCATTTATGTGAAATTTCACTCTGACCGCTTCTCCCTATTTTGGGATGTCAATGCAATTCTACTAACTCTGACTTCCATTCAATTATTATTCAATGTTAATTAAAAAAGAAAAAGCAAATAAATTATTATTCGCTATACCATACCGAAAATTACGAGTAAAATAATTTGTACACTGTTTTGTCAAAAATGATAACGCCAGTTCCTGCACACCTGAAATAACTTCTAAATTATACGTCTAATGAAAAATTGTTTAATACGCAATGACTATTTCACGACAATTTGACGAAAGTACGAATATATTCTTCGAAGTATCTTTCTTTATAAATATAAAATTGATATCGAGGTACTATCGAATTTCACGTGGATTGAGTTTCGTATCGACTTTGTTGAATTTCTTCAGAACGCAGTTTCCGATTTCTTCAATTCTGCATTTCGCGGAATATATACTTTCGTGAAACTTTTGCTTTCGTAGACGACGAACATTTTTCAACAAGTAGAAATCTAAAGACGTAAGATCTAAATCCAGAGACCATAAGATATCCTTCACGATCGTTGAAACTGATCATATTTGTGCTTGTTACACGGTGTTTCAGTTTTATTTTTATCGACGCGAAACACACTGGCAGAGTTCGAAACACTCTGAACAAACAGTTTCCAAGTGTTCATAGAAATATATTCACAAAAAGTTCATGAATTTTCCTATGTTCGTCGTCGTAACACGAGAAGAGAATTTTCTGAAACGGTGACAGCAGAGAACAGTCATCAAACAGGCGAACAAACGTCACGTAACGAAACGTGAAATTGTCGTGGCGATGAAAAATGCCTCGTCCAAGACGGCAACCATCAAGTTTATGTTGAAGCTTAGCAGCCGTGAACTCTACAAGGAAGTCGGCTGTAACGTCGTCAATTGCATAAGCGGCAGTAAAGCTCAGAGGTTTCCTGCTTTGCACTTCAATGCAGCAAGTCGACCGATCCTCAGATTTTCTCTCTCTCTCTCTCTCTTTCTCTGGCTCTTTGTTCCGTGGATGTTTGCACCGAAAGTGCTACGAAATTCCGTGAAATTTTCACGCAATCCCACTCGTTCTGACTTTCACGTTATAAAATCAGTCTGCGGGTACGCGAAACCTTTTGAAATTTTTTCTTTTTTTTTTTTTTTTCTTGTATGAAAAATGAAGAACACAACTGTGTCAATTGTGCAACTTGTAAAAGTTATAGTAATATGATATAAATAGTATAGTAAATAGTTATATTAATAATAACATAAATAATACAACTTCGTAAAGAATAGATCACGTGACGATCCGCGCGAAGCGTTCTAGTTTTCAACCCTTTGCACTTTTTTATCGAGTGTGATTCGACATCAGTTTCCATTCATCACAGGAATTCTTATGTTCAGTCACACTCGATATTTTTAAATTGCCAGTTAAATTGTCAAAAAGAAAAAAAATAAATAAATAAACGAAGAAAAGTTAATATTTTGTGAGTTTGTTTTTCTTCTTTCGAAGATGATCTTATATTATGTTACGAGTGGAAAAGTGAACATATTTTCTCAAAAACAAAAAAATTTCTAAATTGCAGAAAGATCCCTTCTGTAAGAAATTCCCTTTCTGTAATTTAGAAAGGTAATTTCTAAATTATCAGAAAGGGGAAAAAATAGAAAAACAAAAGATTGTATCGCCAAAATTTTCGACGTCTCGATATATATAACACATATTACGCGAAATCGGATTTCATCCCCTAGAACGAGGCACTAAGATCACCGTTTGTAATTAACGTTGGAGGAACGACGCTTCAACTCACGCCCTCGTCTACAATAGCAGAATGCAAGAATACTCCCCAACAAGGTCAGCAATCGTATATCTGGCTTGTTCGAAGGCTTTGACGCGGCAGCATCTCCCTTAAAATCTCCTGCCAGCACCGACAATCCCGATAACCGGCAAAGGGAAAGCGCAGGGACTTCTAAGAAGTCGTTCTTTCGTGTCAGGCAAGGCACAAATTACCAGGGTCGAATCACGTAGAATAGAATTGAATTGAGTCGTTTTGCAAAGGGAGCTGATCTCGTGAATGAACGCTAAAGAGATTTAAAGGACTACACAGGCTGCATATACAGTGGTACTCACGAGAGTAAGATACTTTGAAATTTCGTTCCTACTGTGACACATGAGAGGCGATTGTTACAATAGTACGACAAAATTTGGAGGTACGGCCAACTTGTAATTCAATATTACGCTGAAAATTCTGTTTAACGTTGTATTTAAATACTCACTTTGCAATAAAAGTAATTTGCACTGAAACACTTTGAAATTTTATTAACAATATATGAACATTTTGGGAACCAATGAATATTTTAATTTTAAATGTTATAACTCTTTAAGAATTTATATTGCATCTTGTTTTTTAAATATAACTTTTTGAGATAATATTTCGTTCAAAAATCTTGGGATACTATTCTCAGCTCTTCAAACTGGATCGTTAATGTCATCAGTGAAATTTCCTGAAGCAAATTTTTGTTCTCGCCGAGAGATCTTTTAAAAACTTGACATAAAAAGCGATTGTACAATGTGGCAAAAGCTTCGTTGAATTATCAAAAATTTTATTTACATTTTTTGAAAGTCTAGAAGAGTAAAGAAGTCTAGAAAGTCTAGAAGAGTAAGTTTCATTCCAATGCTCGTGCATTTGTGGAAATGAAGGAAATTTGTATCTGCGTTAATTTCGAACTAATAACATTTGTAATTATATTAGCAGAAGATTCAGCATATATTTTTTATAATTAATAGATAATAAAATTTTTTAGCTGTACGTAATAGACAGATTTTTTCTTGTATAAAGTGCTGTGTAATTTAATAAATCTGATAGATGGTATAATTTCTCAAATTTTAAAATAAATTTAATATCAATTCTAATATTTTTGACGAGTGTATACTATATCTATCTATTTATCTATCTATCTATCTATCTATATATATATATATACACAATACTTTTTAAATATTAATATCTTATCTTGAATATATTTTTAAGTATTTTAAATATTAATATTCTTTTTTAAATATTTTAAATATTCTAATTCTGTTTTAATTAATATTTCGAATGCTTTACATATTTTTACCTAGTCCAACAACATTTTCCTAGTAATTTAGTCACTCCATCCAATGTAACTACGCTGAAGTGAAATTCACTTCTGTCAGAAAAATGTCTGAAAGACAGACGCGAGTATCTTCTGGTCCTCTAAGCTTCTTAATGCGTTCGTTTGGCCAAGACACGCTAACTGCACAGTAGACCAAGCCTTAAATTTGGCAACGAACAGCGTGTCGTGATTTATGTTAATCTTTGTCCACGGCCAGAATCATTTCGATAGAGCTACACTGTGCCCAATCCGTGCAAGGATTAATTGGACGCCAGCCTAGAATCGAAGAGTCTGTCGCGTCTCCGAACACGTTCGGGTCTTAGCCGTGAAATACTGGGGCTCGCTTGTAGAAACATTGTCAATCCGTTTCGACGTCCACGAAATAAACAATTTGAACAATTTTCGTGCGAAATACTTAAAACGAGGTCAAATTTTTTGCGAGGGGAAACCATCGAAACTCGCACCTCCTTAGGAAGATTTTTAAAATTTTTATAATTTTCAAAAGAAAATACACACGTTCGTATATTCGAACTTTCAACATCCATCGTTGAATTCGCTAATAATGATTCAGATTTTCCTAATTACATAATTTTCTGAAAGTGACACTCTTATCGAAAACATTCTACAGACGACTGTCGTGTAGAATTCTCTCTACTGCAAAATTCGTTAAAGGTTCCTACACATTACAATTTCCAAATTGTAATGATGCTCCAAATCCCCAGATTCGAATCGTATCGAATCACAAAATCTACTCGAAAGTGAAACAATCTGATCAGATCTAGCGTCAAGGGACAGACGTGGAGAAGAAAGAATAGAAAGAAAGAGGAGGAATGAAGAAGAAGAGTCTACACGTACCGTTGCTGTTTCTGCAAACGCAGGGCTGCCTGGACGATTTGTTCTCCAGTTTCACTGGCTGACCTTGACTCGGTAGAAAGGCCTCTCGCTTCTTGCCAGTGGCCTGGACAACCTGGCTGCCCTGCACCACCATCGTGCTCGTGGTCGAGCTCGTAGGGCACGAGGTGCCGTTCACGGTGACCGAGCATCCGGTAGTCGAACCCGTCGGCGACTGATACTCCTGCAGCAACACTCCTGTCGTTGGTACCACGTTCCCTGTCGAATTCGGCGACGAGAAGCTGTTGATCGTCAGCGTTGGCGCGTTACCCGTCACCAGTGACAGTTGAGGGGAAAATGTGTTCTGGTGCAAGCCTCCTGTTAACAGAAAACACCAGTTACGTCAGCAATCAACTCTACAATACACCATCAGTCATCGAATGATATTCTACGAAACAAATGAAATTAGATTGCGTTAGATTGTGGAATGAATTTAAACAACAGGTCTTCGTTTTATGTATTTACATGTAAAGGAAACATCCATTTTTTTTTTTACAGAACAGATATTTTTAGAGAATCTGTATAATACGAGTTATTTTGGAATATTTAATTAAGAATCTATTTTTACAGTCGAGTAATATCCAATGTTTGTATTCGCTACAAATATTAAGAACGAGTTTTTTTAATGTTGATGAATGAATTAATTCGCTCCTCCGACAGAAAAATTTCGATTCTCATATATTTTACAAGTTCTACTTCGGGAGCTGACTGTACGCCTAAAAATAATGAAAAAAAAAGTCATATAAATGTCCTATCTGTCTTCGTTTATGAGATATAATGAATTTTATAAACAGAGAAAACTCTAGTAAGCTAGTTTCTACCAGGGATGGTATATTCAATTTTCATAATAATCATAATTGGGATGAAGAAAACCCACATGTTATTGTGCATTCAAGACATCAACACCAGTTTAGTTTAAACGTATGGGCAGGAATAATTGATAAATTTTTAATTGGACCTTTCTTTCTTGATGGGAAACTAACAGGCACAAAGTACGTTGATTTTTTGAGCACGCGTTTACACGAAA